TTTTTTTATTTTTATGTATTCAATATTGGTGTCATTTAAAGATAATAAAAAGTTATGAACTTGATATGTTTTTTTTACAATCGGAGTAAAAATAAAAATGTAACAACATTTAAAAAAACAGATGTTTTAAAGTGTTACTTTGTTTATAATCAATAGTGGTGTCATTTAAAGATAATAAAAAGTTATGAATTTGATATGTTTTTGTGACAATCAGATTAAAAATAAAAATGTTACAACACTTAAAAAACATATATTTTAAAGCGTTAAATGATTTTTATAGGAAATTGTATGTATTAATAAGGACCTCTATGATTTCCATGGTTGCGGAAATCCCAATTGGAGGAATAAAAAGAGAAAAGCCAATATTTATAGATGGTTGCTGGCGTGGCTTTGTCGTGGTGTGCACTCAAAATAATAATCAATACAACAATTATACGTAGTATATTTGAAGTAAGGTTCGCATCAACAAGGAAAAGAATACTTCTCTTTTTATGTAACTAGTAACAAGGGGGATTTAAACTTTGATTTGATTTATTTAATTAAATACAAAGATGAACGACTTATATGAGTTTAATTAATAGAGATGAGGACTTGGTTTTGCTTTTATCCACTTAATGAGATGTTTGTCGATCCCGGTTATATATTTAACTATCTTCCTCTCGAATACTCAATCGAGGAGTATATATATCCAATTCATCGAGGGTAGTTATTAATAACAAGACGTGTTCATTAATAAAACTTACTACCGAGTCAATATAGAACACGCGCCGTATATTAACCCGATAGTAGCAATAAACTTAAGATGAAAACGATTGAGATTGATAACCTCAACACAAGCGGTTTATTGGTTTAATCAATATAATTAATTCCCCTTAGATTATTAACCATGAGACGCAAGCATTAATAATCCAAGTTTACTACCGTGAAACGACCGAACGATTAACAAGCGTATTCGTCGATCGATTCTAGTATTAATTAATATATGAAACAAAACTAGTTGATCCTTTAAGTAATACTCAAAATATTAATATGAAATATGAATAGGAATTAATTAATATTCAAGGAAGAATATTAAAGAAGATCAATCCTACTATAACTAATGTCAAGATGTTAACTAATTGTCATCTTAGCAACACTCCCCAACATTAATATAGAGGAAGAAAATAAATAATACTATAACTAATGTCAAGATGTTGACTAATTGTCATCTTAGCAACATTCCCCAACATTAATATAGAGATAGTATTAAGGGAAAAATTAATATTCAAGGAAGAAGATTAAAGAAAATAACTCACAACTTACAATTCATTAAGCTTCAAAGTAGCAAAACCAAGATGGAAGAGTTTAGCTCCTCATTTGGAGACTAAACATGATAGAAAATATAAAGAAAACACTAATCTAAAGTGAGCTAAAGAGTATATGTGAATTGGTGATTTTATTGGGAAGGAAAGGGGTGTATTTATAGGCTTTTGGGAGCTGCAGGGTCTGATACCCGACCGAGTATATAGGATACCTGACCGGGTATCTTAGGAAATTGTCTAGAAAGTCACATTTTTGGGCATACCCGATCGGGTTTGTCGGCATACCCGATCGGGTATGTGACAAATCTTCACGAAAATTTGCTCCCACGTTCGTTTGTTCTCGGATTTGATTTGAACAATCGAATCAAGTTAATACCCGACCGGGTACATGAGTATTTTTTTCAAATCGAAATCTTTCTTGCCTCCTTGCACTTTCCTTGATCTTTTAAGGTCCAATCTTGCTCCCTTGGATGATCTTTGGCCTGTTTAGCTCAGAAAAGTCCTAATCTAAACAGTTTACAAATAATTATGAAAATAAAGTATTACACCAAAAGTGTGTAATTTCCACAACTAGAACTAATAAAAAGTAGTTAAAAATACAAACATACAATCGGAAATTACACGAATATCAGTTGCCTCCCCTTTGTGACAAATATTCAGTCAAATATTGCCATTACTCAATCTGTTATGAATTTTAAAAGTGGGATTGTCGTCCGAAATCACAACGGGAAGTTAGTTTTCACCTTCATGGCAACTACTTTGACACTTCTTCCTTCACAACGTTACATTTTTTGAAACTATTGTCATTGCGATCAATGTTTGCAGGAATAGGTCCCTAAGAATCCAAAACTACGCCCACGGTAACAAGCAAGTCAAAAGACCATTCAGCACCATTGCAAAGACCTAGTACCGGTCCTGTCCATTTCTGGGCCTGTGGGCGATACGCTATTTTGGGCTTATATCCAAGACAAATTATAATACATCTTAGTCTCATAAAATTCGGTCGTTTTCATTGTTACCCACAACTTTAGTGACATGCAAATTTGACCCTGTAACTAATTAATAATTGCGATTTAAAGACTTTTTCCCTGAAAAGTAGACCTTCCGACGATAGTATACTGGAAAAGATGTCACCAACGTCAGATTTTTCTGTCGGAATGTGTACTTTTCGGTGGAACAATACTTAAATTGCAAAGATTTAATAGTTATGGGACCAAATTTGTAAGTGATTAAAGTTGCAGGACTAAAATTGAAAGTTTTCCATATGAATTATAATAAAAGTATCGAATGAAGTTCATAAAATAAAGGCGAGAAGCACTCTATTATTATTATTATTTAAGTTACATATTTGCACAAAAGGAACAACACGAGTATCGAATAAAATGAAAAAAAAAACATTACTTAAAAACGTTTCTTGTAGAACAATGTGAAGCAAAACAACAATAACTGCTTGATAGGCAACCTTCTTTCTACTAATAAATATGACAAATAATAAAATTGTCACCTATAATAACACTAAACTTTCTTTTAGTTACAACTGAAAGGATAAATACAAAGAAATATTACTACATATTGAATTCATAAGTTAAGAATGAATTATTGACCCCTGAGAGTCTAAAGTTTGAAGTCTCCAAAGAATGAAGGTTTTCAAAGAGAAAAAATGTTTGACTGCCAAGATGACTCACTCAAGAAGACTGCCAATTTCTCGTCCTCTATAGCTACTATTAGGAATTCAAATATAGTTTATTACAATTTGGAAACAAATAAATATTTGGGATGAGATTTGAGAGCCACGGGTTATAAAATAATTATATAAATTTGTTATATTATAATTAAAATGAATAAAAAGCCTTAAAGGCTAAAGAGATGTGAAGACTAAAGAGGCCAGCGTGTCTTTTCTTGATCCAAGAACAATTGTGTTGCTTTTAAAAATTACAATCGATCCTACTTAAAATTAATTTATATATTATTTTTAAAACTTGGATTTGTTTAAGACTTTTTTTTTTAAATTTTCAAACTGTCAACAAAATTAAACATTAGGCCTAATAAGTAATTACAACAACAACAACATCTAAGGCTTAGTCCCAAAAGATAAACTGATATAGTATATAGACTTGGACCCCCGGGTCTCACAACTATTGGGCCCGGACAGCGGCCCACATACGCTCACTAGATAGCATTTATCTCATTGTACACTATATTTTATTCATGTATATCCATTAGAATAGATTAAATATCATTTATTAGCCATTTATTGGCCTTTTATTGTAACTGGGCCTGGAGGCCCAAACCTGGAAGCCCAGCCCTCTTTTCTCCTATAAATACTCCCTATGGGAGCCATGTAAAAGGATGGTTGATTGAAAGGTTGGAGGTTGAGAAATATAAATACTCACTTTCTCTCTCTAGCTCTCATCTCTCTCTAGAATTAAATACTTCATCATAAACATTAGGTCTGATTAATTGAACTTAAAAATAAAAAGGAAGCATACTCACACTATATATAAAGAAAAAAATTGGGCCTATTTTTTCTTTTATTTTTTTCTGGCCTAGGGCGGTTGCCCCTGTTGCCCCCCCCCCCCCCCCCCCCAGAACCGGCCCTGCAAAGACCACTAGGACAACAGATACACGATTTCGAGAATTAGGAATTATAGACCTGACATCAAGATTACACTATCATAAACGTTATCCCTTAGAATACCAACGCGGTTTTCCCTATGTTGTTTGACTTTCCCGGCTGTGGGCTTTGGTTAATGTCCTCCTACACCTCTAAGTATGTAAATGTCATGCTTATTTGTATTTATTTGTGATTGAATTATGCTCAAACACAAATTCTTACAACTATTACTCATGAGCTAATAACCCTTAACTCATGAACTGATAACCCACGGTGTGTCCTACAAATTCTATTTATGATATTGAACAACTCTATTATTATCAAATCCCTGAGCTTTGCCATGATATGCTATATATATATATATATATATATATATATATATATATATATATATATATAGAATAGAGATCAAATACAAAGCCTTCTTAATTTACAAAGTACAAACTCATCTTGACCGTCCGATGAGTTGATCCAAAGGACATAAAGGCAAGGTGGCATTTTTGTAATAAAACTCAACTTTTTAGGGTGCAACTCGTTGCACCTTAATGTGCAACTGCTATTTTTATGACTTTATAATGTGCAATACTTTGAACCTCAATATGCAATGCAAATAACGTCAAGGTGCATCGTACAAATATTTGCACAATAAGCACACTTTGTACTTGATCTTTCCCCTATATATATATATATATATATATATATATATATATATATATATATATATATATATATATATATCACTTTGAATTTAGAACAATACTTCGTGCACACGCAAAATTGTGTAGGATGATATGCTTACGGGGATGATATGCTTACGGGGAACAATATATATATATATATATATATATATATATATATATATATATATATATATATATATATATATATCACTTTGAATTTCCCTTAAACTTTCACTCTTCCCAGCATGTTAGAATTAACAACTTTTAACCGTTTTTCTAGATTTTCTCTATACTTCAATAATGTTTTCCCTTATGAGATTTAATTTACTTTATAACTATTTATACGAAAAGTTGATAATAATAATTCAAATTGTTCATGGTCCGCTCTTAATAATCTCAGTTAGGCAACGATCAATTATTTCAAAGTAATCCCGAGCGTGTAGGAGTTTTGCGTGTGGACGAAGTATTGTTCTAAATTAAAAGGATACATATCGAGAAAGGGAATTGGTTTGGAGTAATATTTGAATCACTTATTTCATACCGAGTACAATTAATACTTTTGCTAGCACACTTTGATTTTTCTACACACCTTTTTCAACTCTTACAAAACAAAATTAATATAGAGAGCAAGACCTATTATGCTCACTATTGACACAACCATCAGTTCTGTTGTCAAATTTGGAAAATTGGTTGATGTTCTCAGTTTGTTCTGCCTCTTCTAAACTTCCTCTCATGTGAAAGCAGCTTAGCAAAGCGGGTGAGAGCTTCTTCATTTGTGCCTTCTCCTTGAACTGCTTCAAATCTTCCACTGTCCAAATTCAGCCTCGAAACTGACTTCTTCAAGAGACCATTGCCAATCTGTTCGAGCAAGCCCATGTTTTTCACAGACGCATCATCTGACGATGATGTTGTCCCCGTAAGCATATCATCCTACACAGTTTAAAAATCATTAACGAAAAGGATTAGTATCCAAGAGTCATTTCATACACCAATTATAAGGGTAGCTTGTTTAAGGCTTGTTGACTTACTCATGTATCCTCAAATTGTTTGGCTTGATATAGGTTAAGGGTCATGCTGAAATATATTGTCTCTATTTGGTATATAAAATAATAAAGAGATAATACCTATAAACTAATTGGCCTCTATTTGGTATACACTAATATATAAAATATTGAGTCATGGATAGAACCTATATCTTATTCATTTGGGTATGCATAAACGGTATATTAACTATTAGTATTGTTGCATTTTTATATTTTAACTCTTAAATGAAACAAATAGGTACATCAACTATATTTAAATGTTTCATTCGGCAATACAGTGCAAATCCTACATGCCAGCTAGAATTCTATGTCATCACTATACAATATATTATACCCTTGGAATTAAGGCTGCCACGTAAGATTTTTATCTGAAATGTGAATAGTATTGCCGGTTGGAATATTTACGCATAATTTATATTAATGGTTTAATTTGTTTCATTTAAGAGCGGGTAGCAAAGTGCAACAATACTACGTAGTATTACGTACGGAGTAATGCATAAGGTATTACTTGTGCATTGTACCCTATTCGTGCATTTATCATTTAAAAATGTAGTACTCTCTCCGTATCAGTTTATTTGTTCCACTTTCCTTTTTGGTCGTATCAAATTAATTGCCACATTTCTATTTTTGGAACGAACCCTACTCAAAATGTCGTTACAGTGCCACTACAGTGTCACTACGATACCACTATAATACCAAAAATCTTTTACTTTTTATTAAGTCTATAATAATAATTATCTTAAATTATGTGAAAAACAAATGAGACACATAACACACATACCTGAATCCTTAGATAATTTTTCTCATTACGGAGGGACTGAAACAAGGTGGAGACATGAATGTCTACCATATCTGCACTAGCAGCCCCATACATATCTATTAATGGAGTTTGACCATTCATAATGTTGATCACCCAAGAGAGAGAGTCCCATGTGGAGGCCATGGAAGCATTGTATTTTTCTTCATTCCTTGCTATCCCTGTCCCCAATGACAAAACCAGCAGTCTAGTTGTGTTAATTCTCTGCATGTCTTGAAATTGAAATTTCTCCTTCAAGATTTCCTTTGAGATATGGGTGATTGCCGTCATTGTCTGGTAAATATGTACATATATGTACATAATAAGCCATTAATTGAAGTACATACTATGAATAATGGACCACAGAAAGTAAAGAAGAAAGAAGTGACTCATGGCCCAATATATATATATAGTTGGCTAGACTAGGAGGGACTCTTCATGGCCAACTTTTTTGGGCCGTAACCTTAGTGGACTGGACCGAGCACGGAACTGGCCTGGGGACTGTTGGTACATGTGACTCATGGCTCAATATATATATATATATATATATATATATATATATATATATATATATATAGACAAATATTCCTGTCCGGACGTCCGGACAGGAACCGCCGTACGGACCGCGGCGTTTGGCCGCCTTCCCGGTGGAATTTTTTGATGAAATTTTTATGGCATGTTCTCCATCAAGTCTAGTTTATCCACAAAAAAATGCAGCTAAAAAATCAATCGGGAAGGTCGTCAAATGATTTTTGCAAGTTAACTGGTCCGGAATATGTATTTTCCGGACCAGTTAACTTGCAAAAATCATTTGACGACCTTCCCGATTGAGTTTTTGGCTGAATTGTTTTGTGGATAAACTAGACTTGATGGAGAACATGCCATAAAAATTTCATCAAAAAAAGCCACCGGGAAGGCGGCCAAACGCCTTGGTCCGGACGGCGGTTCCGGTCAGGAGCTCCTGACCGGATCATTACTCTCTATATATATATATATATAAACCCATCAATGCACACACATAATGCAATTTTGATAAAAAGGACATTTCATGTGAAATGGGACATATATATGTTTTATTTCAGTGCAGAATTACGTTGTGAGTCTTGAACATTCATGCCCTCAATTTGTTTAAACTTATTTTCTAAATTGACACCTCTTTTCATGATTCATGATGTGTGCATGTGCATTCCAACTCCAATTGTGCAGTCTCAAAATCTAATGATTGATATTCATCCCCATTTTTAATATTAAAGCTCATTTTTATATGATTAAATTACACACATTTTAAATGAGAGTTTTTCCTTAATATTTCTGAAATAAAATTTATAGATAATTTTTTAACTAAAGTTACTTTGAGTATGTCATTATGTTCAAGCGTATATATATAGACTAAATAAAGTACGAGCGTATATCCCACCGTACTTTGAGAGTAGTTTGGGATATGCGTATGTCATTGGGATAATATATATACTCCGTAATTAAATACAAAGTACTTCAAATAGCATTTACGGGTAAATAAATTCTCACCGGATTACCAGCAGCAATTCCTCCATCAACGAGATTGAAGCTATTTACACCACCAACGGCGTCCCTAGTCTCAAAATAGTAAGGCGGGAAAAAGGTTGGTGCTGCAGAAGTACTTATACAAACATCTGAAAGTAGAGCATTCTTTGTAGGATTTGCTTTAGCCTGCCATTATTATATTTTTGTATGAAGTTTACTAAATGAAAAAAACACAATTTGAGTTCCAAAAATAGAATATAGAGAGAAAGAAAAATACAAGTCTTTGATGTACATACGTCAGAAGTTGTGAAAATAATGGGCTGAAGGCGCTTGATATCAAATGTTGGTATGATGGAACAAGTTAATGTTTGGTTCATTGTTGTGCTTCCCAACATATCTTTCACAATTGATCTCAGATACTTCCCATCATATTTCGGCCCGGTTGATACATTCGAGCTGTGATTGATTCATTATAGAAACCACATTCAGTGTGAGTAGCAATTGAAGAGTGTCTAAAAATTGATAAATAAAGTGTATCTATGACTTTACTACTTAAACCAAGTCTTAGTATCACCAATATTTTCTTTTGGACTATTTTCAGTTCCAGACCAGACCTAAACAGACCAGATCATATCAGGTCGAACTTTCATAGTTATAAAATATACTGAGATCAGACATTTACCAAATCAGACCAGACTAGATCAAACCAGCAAATTTCAGTCTAAAAGAAAACATCCCAAGTGTTTTTGCCTAAAATTAGAGGGTGTGTTTAGATCTTAGTATTGTTAGAAAAATGAATGGACAAGGGGTTATTTTTGTTTAGTTTTCTCAATAAAAGTTAGAAAATGCAATGAAGTGAACGTTTTTACTCGTCTACATATATTTAGATTACATTGTATACGTATGATAAATTAGAAAGTGTATTTGATAGTAATAATAATAAACGTACATTTGCTAAGTTAGCTACCATTATTAATTTTCCTCCACCCTTTCTCAACCTATAGATTTCATCAGTATTGTTCTTTCTATATTCTTTCACTTGCATTTTCTAGGTGGTGTAGCCACCCTACGCTCTAATCGTCAGCTCCGAAGGTTGTCATGGTCTCATAGAGTCACTAATATGGCCATATGGGGGTAAAATGTACGTTAACTATTAATGTTTGTGTATTTTATTAGCTCAAAAAATGAACAGAGTTGATTTGTACTCCAAGTAGATTTACAGCCTATTTGGATAAATCTGAATCCAGTATGCCTACGGGTGACAAAACGTAACCCACACAGTATAAAACCCAAAATTCTATAACCCGGTCTGGAAAGGTCAAAACCCAAAATTGTTACTCTTAATATAAAACAATACTTCATTTAATCAAATGTATCTTAAACAAAGTATTTAAGATAAATGTGTTTTTTGTATTTGAACTATAGTTGATTTTGGAGAATATTATGTGTATTATGATACGTGATCTAATTAAGTTTTTGAATAATTTATGCAATAACATAATTTAAAACAAATCATTCCTAATATTTAATTAAAATAAGAATAGTGGACAAAAAGTTACTTAATACTTGGTAACTTTTAGTTATTATATTGGGGTAAGGTTCAAGTGAGAAGAACCCTTTGGGTGAGAAATGAGAATCAATCTCAGCCATTGGATTCGACTAAGTTGCAGTAAAAGACACTTCATGATGGATTGAAATATGTAATCTAGCACGGTGGCATTTCTGTAAATACTTCTGAAAAATCCGTATTACACGTGTCTGGTGCAACATGAAGCTATTTCTGTGCAACGTCGTCAAATATTAGTGCAACATGAAACAGTTTTAGTGCAACATGTGCAAAATTTAAATATTACTGCAACATAAAGTCAATTTTAGTGCAATTTCGTAAATCCAATGGCTGAGATTCATTCTCATTTCTCACATTAGATGCATTTCTCACCTGAACCAAAATCTTATATTGTGTCTAAATCTTAACTAAATGGTACTGGCTATAAACGTGTATGTATAGACTAAATGAACTTAAAATTAAATTTAGAAGGACCGTTAATTGTCTCAATTGACTACCTTCGGAACTCAAACCAAAACCAACCGACAGGAATTCTCAGAATTCAACGTGCATTAGAAAAAACAGAGTATATGTATATTCAATGAATGAATTAGAGAAAGTATGCCTAGCTAGTTTGTAAACAATAATATGTGAAGAATTCAAACTGGTCTTACCATGTGCAAATGAATTTTTTTGAACTGATTTCTTTTGGTTGGGCTAGACTGTTTTGATATGATCTATATACTATCCTCCGTCTCTTTTTAATCGCAACATGTTGAATTTTACACTATTCACATGTTCTACTTTGACTAAATTTTATATTATTATTTTATGAAAATTATTTTTTAAAAATTATATTGTTCAATTCATCTCATTACAAATTTCCAGAATCTAATTTTTAAATATTTTTTATTAATAGGGATTAAGATATAATTACGGTCAAAGATGTGTGTTGGCAAGTGTGAAATGTTGACCGTTGCAACTAAAAAAGAACGGAGGAAGTATTTAAGTTGAGTCTAGTCTAATGAGCGATTGGTGTGCGTTTATTTTACTACCGTATATGCCTAAACTAATCTTGTTTGTTTAAATCTGATTTGTTTTTATTTATTTAAAATATCTTCTGACGAGTTTAGCGGACATAATTACAATAATTGCAACACACAATTTAAATCATGTTGTGAAACTACGAACCATAAGAGGATTTCGCAAGAATTTAATGCTACAAAATTTATAATAAAAATATGATGACTAAAGTAATTATTAATGTCGAATGCGTACTATGTAGTATAACTTTACGGTCGAGAGAGTACAAAATTAGACATAGTCATAACTCATAATTCAATTATATCATTGTACCATATGTAACATATTTGTCGTATATCAATATAACATCTCTATGTTAGTAATGATGCGTCACTATATATATCAAAACATAAACGTAACACCGACTAGATAATTGGTCAGATTGAAATTTACAAGTCTCAAAGTCTTAATCGGCATAAATGATATGCATCATAACTCAATTTCAAATTAGAAAAGTCGTTCGCATACGTGAAGTTGTATACAGACGTCAGTTAAATTGATCGTGCGTTGTCAATCGTTTTTCGTCGATACAAAAAACGGTTCTTTTCACGAAATCAAAAACAATATTGTGCAGTGATAATTTGACGTACATTAAATTTTTCGTCGTGTATATTGTTTCTTACAACTAGCGTGTACACGAAACATGGTTGATTTCAAATGGTACGGTTCAAATGCATAAATGGTACCTTAAGTATTGATAATGTTGCATTTTGGTACCTTAACTTTTAAATGAATCAAAACGGTACCTTAACTATATATAAATGTTTCGAATTGATATTTTATTCAAATTTCCGACCAAAAAATCACACGTGACGGCCAGAATTCTATGCCTAAAGTCTATTTCACCTTATTTTCGTCCATATGGTCACTATACGATGACTCTACACAAGAAATTTTGATCACCATGAAGATTTTTGGTCGAAAATTTGAATAAAATCTCAATTCGAAGCATTTATCTATAGTTAACGTACCGCTTTGATTCATTTAAGAGTTAAGGTACCAAAATGCAACATTAACAATACTTAAGGTACCATTTATACATTTCACCCCAAATAGTACTGTTACGAAGTTGAGTTTGATTTACCTACCTGGTTGTAGAGAATATCTTTGGGCCGTGTTCCTTGTAAAAGGAGGTGATATTCTTTGCTTCAAACAAGGGTCTCTTATCCTTGTTGGGAGCAGTAAGCATGGTGGTGACTAATCCTCCTGTGCTTGTTCCGGCCACCACATCGAAGTAGTCCGCGATTCTTACGTCTGGCCCGTCCAATTCCTGGAGCTTGGATTCCAGAAACGCCAGAAGGATACCTGGAATTATCCCCCTTATTCCTCCCCCATCCACACTCAGAACTGTGACCATATTGGCTTTTGTTGCCCCAGCCATAGCCATGGGTGGTCTTGCTATGATTGTAAGCAAGGCTAGTAGAGACAAAATCATTGTACACTTACCCATATTACCCAAATTTTCGAATCTTAATTGAAAAATATATGTATGATGATCAAGAAAAAGGAGAGAAATTAAAAGAAGTTGAGCTTCGTTAATGAGTGACAACCTACGGTCTTATTTATAGTACGTAGTATAAAACTATATATGCGTGTGTGGATTCACTTCTTCAACCGCTTCTAGATGTCGAGGTTGTGTGGCGGGAGACTTTACGGCCAAATAGTGTTCATACATGCACGTTTTCACGTTTCTCATTTGACTATTATAATGAAAATAGCGTCCCAAAATACATTCTACTCAGAGATCACTTATAGGCGTGAGAAATGAGAAAGATTCAAATAATGCACATTGTAGTTTACAAAGACGCACACTTATGATTAATACTCCGTATAATGCATAGTTCGAATGTACAATTCGTTGTTAAAAAATGTACTATTCAAATGCACACTTACTGATTAATGGTAGTACACATTTATCTTGTGTAGAAACTGAGGAACCCACCTCTATTTCAAAACTGATTTTAAATTATCAAATCTTGGTTGTAGGCAATGAGAATCAAAATGTTTTCTCTTGTGGAAAGCAACCCCAGTTGCCACCGATTCAGGCGTACTCAGACGCCTCTGACGACTTTGATCATTCAGGCGACTCTGTCTTCACAGATGACTTCTTGGGACATGCAACTGAAAGTGATCGTCGTCCTCCTATATCATTCCCGGAAGAAATTAAGAAGTCCAAATTCAACAGGGAAATATGTCGCAAAGCCAATTTCATAACCTCTGATAACTGCCTGCCGACTGACAACCTGAACACACAGTTGAAAATATACCGGAAAAATCAAAAGAACAAAAGGCGGCATAGCATGAGATCAAGATCTCAATCTAGAGATTTCCCATGGGACTAGATCTGTTTTTAGTTTTTTTCCATTATGCTTTTCCTTTTTCTTTTTTCGCATTGTACTTTTTTTCTTTTATCAATAAAACTCCTCTTTAAAAAAAAAAAAGGTAGTACACATTTATCTTCACATGATGCATAATTTTTAAATCTAATGCTCTACATTCATTTTCATTTGTCTTCTTAAATTGTGTTTTCATTTAAATCAAATTGTATATGTGTTTGTGGAGTATATAATTTGTTTCACGCACTCATTTATAATTACTACAAAAAAATGGCGGGATTGTCAGAGAATTTGGCACGGACTTATCAATTTTTCGTGCCAAATAGCTCGTGCCAAAGTGTTTTTGGCACGAATTTGGCGTATCACTGCCAAAATCCGTGTCAAATCCCTACCAAATTCCTTCCTTAACGGTTTAGTTGACTCGGTTACATATGAAATGTTGTCCAATGAAATATTGTCGCATAATATGTTGGGTGTAGTAAAAACATCCAATAGATATCTAATGTCTAGTTATGTAGCTGCAAAATGTATCAAAGATAAGTAAAAGTCCAAGCTAGGTTGATTTTACGGAGTATAAAGTAACTATATTTTGTTTTATTATACTTTCCTTTTTTAGTTTCAGGATAATATAGTAATTTCATAGTAATACACACACATACACATAGTTGTATTAATAATTTAAATTATATATTTCAAAAGCTCTAAAAAAACTTAATGCGACAATGATATGCAACAATTTCATAATATATATATATATAAGAGGAACTTTTTAAGAGCATACAGCGCACCACAAAATCCTGTCATGTCATCATATATAACAATTACTTAATTACTTTTTATATCTCTTTTTTTATTCGATCATACATAATCTTGCCATGCCACAAAATCTTATGGATCTTCAATGGAATCCCCATCTTCAATACGGAATATTCAATTTGATCACAACTTTACATATTTAGAACTTTGGGTACTCATTATTTTAAAAGTGTAGTTTTTAAAAAAGTTTTTTGAAAAGAGTGACATTTTCACTATTAAATTCTAAAAGTGATAATATTACTTCACTTTTGAAATAGATTCCTAATCCAAATTAGGAAATCTCCATACATTTAGGATGTTTTTAATTGGACCGATTTCAATCCCAAACAAGATCGGATCAAACATCAATAATAATAATAATAATAATAATAATAATAATTATAATTATAATTATAATAACAATTATTATTATTATTATTATTATTATTATTATTATTATTATTATACATACATAAAATAGACATCTTCTAGACCAATTACTTAGATTTAATTCATTATAGTAGAGTTAGACAATTTGATTAATTTTAGTATTATCAAACGGCTTTATATTAGACCGAGTTTATTTTACTTTTGCATCACATTTAATTATACTCCGTATATGATTTCGAATACATCAAATTTACAAATAGCTAAATTATGTACTGCCCGTGCATTGCACGGGCTTAAAAAGAGTGAAATTTTAAAAACTACACTTTTAAAATAATGAGTAAAAGCATTTGAATTTATCACTATATATTAGAATAAAAAAATAATTATGCATATCATTCAGATAGAACTTAATCAATTTCAGCATAATCAATCAATTCGGTCAATTTACTGTAATCAAACGAGCTCTATATTAATTAAATTATTGAAGGTTTGTTTACTCTTTTTCTATTAAATATTGTCTGGATTAAGACGTTTGTGTAGGTGAAAATGTATACCGGGATAAAATGATATTTGTATATGAAATTGTTTATTTTGTATACTGAATAAACAGTCTGAATCAAGTCAAAAAAATCAATTTAGTATTGTTCTTAGATTATAGTGTCAATGAAAAACATCATTTATATTAATATAAGTTTATTCCACAACAAATTTTTAAAAAATCATACTACCTCCATCCCGAATTGATTTGCAAATTTGACTTTTCTTGGTCAAACAGTTTCATTTTATTCTCTTAATTAGGATGTTAATTTTTAATTATATTTTAATTTGAAGTTTGCAACTTTGAAGAGATTTTAATGTAGTTTCTGAATATGTAAATTTTAATTATTAAAAATTGAATTAATTATCAATAAAGAACATTGACTTTTAATATTAGTTAACCAAAAAATGTTGACTTTGCAAAACAAATTGGGACGGAGGGAGTATTTAAAAATTAGATAAATTGCGTGCTATGCACGGGCTTGAAAACTATTATACAAAGAATGACACATTTGAATTGTCCTAGTTTAATTTGCCTTTTCCCTCTATTTCACTAAAATTATTTTCTATTATTGTACATTTGTATCCGTGTTTTGTAATATTTGATTCTAGGGAAAGGCATGTCTTATTTGTGCACTTGTAAAGTTGTAAGTTGCACGCCAATGATTATTACTCATTTACTCCATGTCCACCACCGACTCATTTTCCCTCTATTTCACTAAAATTATTAATCATGCCGTTTTATTTGCAGAATTGCAGGCACTCGAACGCACATATTTGGAGGCTGCGATTATTTTCATGCCCATCACAGTACAAAAGTTTCGCCTAAATGAAATCATAACAAATGAATTGGAATTTTGAAATATATTTATTTGTGCGTATATAGTATGGAGTGGTACGGTTCAAGACCGGTTTCATTTCTCACATAGATCAGTCGGGCCACGGTGTAATTTGGAGCCGTGGAAGTCACCGGTTTCAGATCGGATACAACCAATTCAGATTTATTAGCTTGTTTTTTAACCCAGTAGGCAAACCAGGTAAGTATACTTTTTAATTAGTTGGTTTCGAAATGAAAATACACTACAAAGAAACACCGAATTGATAGAATTTTAAGTATGAATATGTGTTGTGTATGAATGTACTACTTCCTCTCCTTGAACCAAACTTAATAATACGCCAAAATTCATAAAAGATTTGGTAGGAATATGTCAAATCTTTATTAAAATCACTTTGGCAAAAGCTATTTGACACAAAATCATTGGTAAATTCATGCTAAATCTGTGTCAATTCCATAATATTTATGTTGCGATATGCGGGATTGTGTGAGCATGGGATGTAAACCCAATTTTGTATTCTATTTATATTAAAAAAAAACTCATTCACAATAAAGTTGTAAAACAACTGAATAGTGAATAGTGCATATCTCTTCTTGCATTCATGACATCGTTGTAAGGATATATGCATTTTAAGGTACATTTTTTAAAATGTTGATTTTTTTCTAAAATGAGGGTACATATAAAACATGTATTTAAATGTTGTAAACATTGATCAGGCTGTTTATTTTTCTATTGGTTACTTCTATTGTTGTAAGACTCTTGCACTATGATTGGGTGATAGAAGATATGCTTTAACCGTCGTTGGCTCATTTGTCATCAACGAGTCATATTGCTTTTTGAAGGTGATTGAATCTAAGTCTGATTTGAAGGTGGGTGGTTGCATGTGGTCCTTTTGTCGTTTTACCCCCTATCTGAATGCTCTGAATGCTAAGATATCAATTTAAACCATCCGTTTTGACGATAGAAAAATGTTGTAAACATAATTCAAAATATGAAAATAGATCATATCTCACGCCATCTCCAACAAGCACCATCTTCAACACCAAAATGGTGGATTTGAAAAAAAAAATGTTCCAACAATGACACCAAACTTTACACCATTACACCAAAATGGGGGAGGGGGGATGGCTTTACGCCATATATGGCGTACGCCATTTGTAGCACCATTCTCTTTTTGTAATTTTTTTTCTTTCAAATGTGACCCAAAGTTTTGATTATTATAGTTTTGACCCATTTTTAAAACAACAAATTAGGATGTTTTACTTGGACTAAAATTTGTTGGTCCTGTCTGGTCTGGTCTGATTTGGTCTGGTCTGGTCTGAATTGATGTGGCCTGGTCTGATTTCTTTGTATTTTTATAACTACCCAAGTTTAAGTAGTACTTTACGTACTAATGACGTACAAATGATTATAATATTATTGTAATGTATAATTTTATGTGGTTTTAGCTTGTATTTGTGAAATATTGATTATTGTGTTTTAATTAGTGAAATGCGTGAAAATACATATTAAAATAATGTATTTTAGTTTGTATGTGTGAAATAATGTGTGAAATGTCAAAATATTAAATGAGGGGCTAATGTATAAATATAAGATAGTTAGATACTTAAATAGAATAATGGTAAAAAGTTAGTAAAAAGAATAAAAAGATAATAT